TTGAGCAAATGCATCTGGGACGCACAAATCTCTTCTTCTTCTTCTTATTTGGCGTTATAACCGTCCAAGTGATTTTGTTCGAGTCCAGTATGTCAGTCGTTTCACTTCTGTGCCAACTGGCGCGGTAAATGCCAGGTGAAGCCAAGTCCTTCTCCACTTGGTCCTTCCGTCGGCCTTAAACTTCCACCATCGCGACCCGCGTTGAATACTTTCAGAGCTGGAGCGTTTCTGCACATTCGTACGACATAACCAAGCCAGCGTAGCCGTTGTATTTTAACTCGCTGCACTATATCCATGCCGTTGTAAAGCTCATAGAGCACACGTTCCATCGTCTGCGGTACTTGCCGTCGCCAATGCGTAACGGCCCAGAAACCTTTAGAAGAATCTTTCTCTCGAAAACTCCAAGAGCCGCGTCATCAAATGTTTTCATTGTCATTGACGCTTATGTTCTGACTATTGTGAGATGACCGGAAATACCTCGTTTTGTCGTCGTTCACCATCAGACCCACACTCTTTGCTTCTCTTTCTAATTCCGAAATGGCAGCGGCTCAGTTATGTGACTCTCATTATTTTCTCCAACATCGGATTAAAGATATTATACGAAAACGACTAACCTTGTTTGGTATCACACGGCTAGGAGATACCCTTCTCAATTCTGACGGAGCTGGTGGTATAGCTCAACGTCATTTTACACAGCCGTATTAGTTTCGCGGGGATACGAAATTCAGACACCACGAAATAAAGACAACTTCTTTTCCAGCTGACGAAAGCTGCTTTGAAATCCAAGCTTTGGCGTGTTGCGAATATGAGATTTATGGTGGATTTGGCAGATCTGAAGCCACACTGGTAAGGCGCAATCAGTTCGTTGTTGGTGGGCTTCAATCTTTCACACAACACGTTTGATAATATAGTTGGCGCGCATGGCGGAGTTGCCTTCCTTGTGGATTGAAAATGAAATGAAATGAAAATTGGAAATGAAATGAAATGAAATGAAATGAACTCCAGTCGTCGGGCATGCACCTTATCAGCTCCTCACCATCGCATCGTACCGTCAGCTCCAGCATGTTGGTTATTTTTCATGAGCATAATCGTTATTCGTACCTCCGCATAGTCAGACGCTGGGACTCCACCGTCATCAACTAGTGCTCGGATTCGTCTTCTCCACTACTTTCAGTGTTGCTGTCATCCAAAGGGTCGAAAAGTGTTCCGGCGAAGTCGATCAGCCACAGCACGTTATCGGACGTTTCGTCGTGGAGGCTGAATTTTCCGACAGTGGCGCCAAAGATCCCTTCCTTGCCCACCTTGGCATTAAAATCGGCGAGCACGATTTTGACATCGTGTCGGGGGCAGCGCTCATATGTACGCTCCAAGCGCTCATAGAAGGCATCCTTGCACGCCTCGTCCTTCTCTTCCGTCGGGGCATGGACGCAGATGAGCGAGTTGTTGAAGAATCTCGCTTTGATGAGAATTGTGGACGTTCGTCCACTAGAGAGGACGCCAGTACTCGCGGCGGAGTCTCTCTCCCACCAAAAATCCAAGACCGAATTTGCGCTCATTTACGTGGCAACTGTCCCGTCCATCAAATTTCATGGTGATGTCAGCCTTTATTTTCCCGAGGACATCAACCAGACGGGCAGAGGCACCTTCCCGACTAAAGGCCTTTCCACGTTTCAAGTGATCGTCATCAAAAAAAGGGGTATCATTCGAGGCATGTTTTTTTTTATTGGACAGGGTTTTAACGTGGTGTGACCCAAACCCAACGGCGCGGAGTTTTATGCCTTCTCACTTTAGCTCGATCTCAAACATGATTCAATAATACAAGGTTCGATAAACTGACAGTTGTCTCTCTCGCACCGCTCCCTTAACAGCGGCACGGTGTTGCTTCTTTGCTTGGAAAAAGTGTAGCTTTGGTGTGAAATAGAAGTATAAGCTTTTGTGCAATATGCTTATTTGTATATGCATATGAAGCATATTTAACTGATAAAAACATAAATTGTTTTTAAATTGGATGTTTACATCAATCTTATAGTAGTTTTATTTTAATTTTGAGTCTTTTTACAGTTTTTATACAGCTAAATAGCGCATAAATTACGTAACTCACATAGATATATCAATATTACGTTCAATATTTCGTTTAAAATGCCAGATTTTCTGCAAATACATTAGAATTTACAAAAGGAATTTCACTACTAATTGAGTACTTTTCTACTACCATTTTCACACCAAGAGATTTCATTCCTCCCCTTTCTCCGTCCTTCGTAAATGCAACCTTTTGTAAGGGAGTGTCAAACCGCGGCTGTCAATAATTATCTAACCTTGTATTAGGTGCGTTCGTTTAAAATCTCCAGCAGAAACCAACCAACTGCCAAATTCCGGCGAAATGTCATCTGTTCGCTCACAAGAGAGAAATATCCAAAATAGTACGCGAACAGAAAATTTGCAGAAACTTGCAAGTTAGACGAACAGCTGATATAATTTTTGTTTACATACAAAAGTGTAAAATTTAAAACGTACGAAAAGTCATCGCAAAGTGTTATACTGACACAGTTTATTGATTAAACAAATAACTACTTATTTCTTACAAGTTTAATTAGTCGCATTTTGTAATTTTTATCTTCCAAACCATCAAATTCAATTTTGTGATTTGCGTAAATGCCAACCAGCTGTTTTTGATCAGCTGTTTCCCTGTTGGCAAATTGCTGTTGGCAAAAATTTTTCCAACAGAAACTAACAGCTTCCCCTCAAAATGAAATGTCACTTTGCTCTCTCAATTTCCCCTACTTTGCAAGTTTTTTGCGTACGCGAACGCAAAAACTTGTAAGTTTTGGTTAAACATGAACAATTAACAGCTACGCGAACGAACCTATTATTGAATCATGGATCTCAAACTGGTGTTTGGGCGTTACCCAGAGGAAACGTGGATATAAATATCCAGATGTAGTGAGCTGCAATTTCAACCGTAAGCACACGAATCACCTCTGGCCACTCCCAGGTGAATGGCAGTCCGAAGCTTTGGCGTACTGGGAAATGTACAGAACATAGTGGTCGAATGCGAATATCTCAACTAAACCTTGATGTATTTTTTAAATTCATAGTTCTACATATACTTGTATATAAAGGGTGAACATACCAAAACTGCGACACTTAAAAATTACTACACGAAAGAAATTAGAAGGCTTTGAAATATTTTTTTTTTAGTATAAAACTTTGAATTTTATATATAATTAAAATGTTAAAATATTAGTTATTATTTGCAAATGGCAAAATACGCTTTTTGAGGCACTCATCCCGATAAACTTGAGCGTTCATTGTCCCGGATGTGAAATAAGGGCTCTTACGGCCAATCCAACCAGGAACAAATAGCTTGCCAAACCATGTATTTTTTTTTTTTTGGAAATTTGGACTTCGTTTTCAGATTACAGCTTTCAGGGCCATCTTGACGACTTGCAGCAGTATAAAAATCTTGACCAGCAATATATTTGAAATTTTGAAAGCAGTAAGTTTCGTCGTCCATAACAATGCATTTGTATTTTGTAATTTGGGATTGATACAATTTCCGGCTGCGGGATTTAGCTGTAACATTCTGCTTTGCGTCTCGATCTGGCGCTGTTTGAGCTTTTTGTACGAAAGACTGCGATTTACGAACAGATTTTGCAACAGAACGCGACGAAATCTTCGGATCTCGCGAAAACGCACTGAGGATTACCGATTCAAAACCCTGCCAACTGTCGAATGGTGCAATTTTACGCGCACTTAAGGCCGGATTATTTATAAACTCGTGCAAAATAATTTGTCTCGCTTCTAACTCGGTTGCCATTTTTAACTTAACTAGAAATCAAATTCAAATGAAATTTTGAGTTTCAAAATATTGAAACCTTTTTAGGTGATTTATAAGTTTCCCAAAGTGTAGCAGTTTTGGTGTGTTCACCCTTTACAGTAGGGCGGGTCAAATTTTTTGCATCAAATTCACATCGCGATTAAAGTTATTTCGGTTATTTCAAGCATTTTTGCCCAAGAAACCATAAGACTAAAATGAATTTCGAGCCAGCGATTTTTTCTATCTAGTTTTTTTTTTTCAAAAAGTGGGTCACCTGTTGAAACAGCTTTATTGAAAACTAGCCAAAATGTGTATCTGGGGGTTTTTGGGGTGGGTCGAGGAATAAATTTTTGGCAATAATTTTTTCCTTTGAGGGCCGCCAGAGGGTGCTTCAGTTTTTTTTTAGGATTTTAAAGCCTTTTTCCGAAAATCGACAACATTGTTGCGAAAATCCACGAAATTTGACCTTCTCATAATGCAATTTCAATTTTTAGATAGCCTAAAATGTTCAGCGTTGAAAATTAGGGGGAAGGGAGGTGTATTCATGCACAACTTATATCGATTTTATTCAATTTAGGACAAAAAATTCGTTTTTTTTCCTTTGCTCTCTGAATTATACAAAACAAATTTTTTTCTTATGTTAATACTTTCTTTTTTATTCAAAACTTCAACTTAAAAGATAAAAAAATAGGAAATCTAAATGAAAAAAAACATTAACAATTTCTAATGTTTCAATGTTTAAATACACGTACGTCTCACGTTTTAATATTATTTTGGTAATACTGTTTATGCATGCTTTTTCATTTTTATAGGCTGCGTTTCTTTATACATTCCGGATAATCCCATTTCACANCATTAACAATTTCTAATGTTTCAATGTTTAAATACACGTACGTCTCACGTTTTAATATTATTTTGGTAATACTGTTTATCGACATATTGTATGACAAATGACGTGTGACAGCATGCTTTTTCATTTTTATACTGTGTTTGATAAGTAATATATAAAAAAAAATAAATAAAATATTAAGAAAATTTCGTTTNACTGTGTTTAATAAGTAATATATAAAAAAAAATAAATAAAATATTAAGAAAATTTCGTTTTTGATAGTTTCTTTTATCAATGTTGTATTTTATCATTCTTGGATTCCGGCTGCATGGTGAAGAATAAAATATAAACCAATTGTTTGTTGATAAAACTTTAATCTGTCATTTTTCCTATTTTACAAATGAACGCTATTAAATACCTCTAAACTAATTATTGAAAACACGGCAGAAGTTTTAATTACCCTGACGCATGAGAAAATTCGACGTTAAACGACATCTTAAAGTTTAAAACAATGTGCTGTTTTCATAATTACATGAAGGTCCGTATGTAGGTATCTGTAAAAAGATATAATGTATATATTAGTTGTGTTCAAAATTAAAAAAGAAAAAGAAGTTTTTAGTTATGTAATATCAGTAGGACCTATTTTTGAGGATGTTTTGTTGCGGTTAATGTGAATCATTCCACAAAATCAGCTTTCCTTGTTTCATCACTTGGAAAATTAACTTAATTAACTAAATAAATTTAGACAAATATATATATATATCGATTTACCTGGAGTTTTGACATGACATCGGCTGATATCCGTATAACAATTGTTTGACGCTGTTAAAGAAAAATAATATTTTGTTAGGTAAAATTGAATTAAACTTGATTAGTTTTGTAGTAAATTTTAATCAGTAGGACCTATTTTTAAGAAAGTAGAGTTGCGGTTTTATGTGAATCATGCCACATAGATCAGAATCCTTTTCTCATCATATAAATTGTTGACACAAACTGATCGCAGGGAAAAGTTAAATTTGCGAGTGTCTTGACGATCAATTGCATATTTTGCAGCAAATGTATGATTTTGCATATTTTGCAAAAATACCTAATTTTGCATATTTTTGCTTTTTTTTTATTTACAATCATTTAAATTTAGTGCGAAATCTCTTGACAAAACCTCTAATATGGGTCCTGGGACATAGGGAAATTTATGGAAACGAGGCAGCGGACGAGCTAGCGAAGTGCGGCTCCGCACTGAATGTGTTCCACGCGGTGGACATGGGCGCTTCGCTCAGGGAGATAAAAGCATCAATTACATTCCCACGACAGCTGGTTCTGCGTACCAGAATGGCTTGGGTTTTACCCGACCAAGGGCTGTTGTTTCGGTGATCTAACCCCGTTTAGGTCGGCGAAATCCATCATCGATCCTAGGGCTACACCTTCTCCGCACCTTTCCACTCAGGGCTGGCATAGAGTCAAACCCAGGACCAGAAACCTACACCTGCTGCGTATGCCAGAGACGACTGCATACAACCTCCACCTCGGTCAGGTGCAATGCCAGTGACTGGTGGAGTCACCTCCGTAACTGCTCGCGCCTGCGTACACACCGGCAATGGACCACGTCGTTCGTGGCCCCATGCTGTGCGAACCGGACCGCCTCCACGGCAAACCACCGCCCGCCTGGGCAGCACACAATCAACACACCCACACCCCAACACAGCACAACAATAGACACACAAACAAACACAATAGCACCCACACACCGCCGCCGGCAACTCCTAGTCCCTCCGACAATCTGCTCTGTTTGTCAGTCCAGAATATACCGTAACGTGACATCAGTCAAGTGCAACTCTTGCCTCGGCTGGTGCCACTTTAGGGCGTGCTCAGGTCTT